CTGAAGAAAATTAGAAAATATTAGAGAAAGGGGCTGGCAGGTGGCATGGTGGTTAAAGGTGCTGGACTCCCACATGGCTGACTGCAGTTCGAGTCCTGGACCTGGTGGCTTGCTTTCTCACTTTCTCTCTCTCTCTCTCTCACTCTGTCCCTCTCTGGTCAAATCAAAATAAATAAATAAATACAGTTAAATAAAATAATTCTTAAAAAAAAGAAAATATTAGAGATATGAAGAAGAAAATAAATTTATCCCCCAGCCAGATACATCACTGATGTTTATATTACGCTCGATTTTCTTCCAATCTCTGCCAAATGTTTGTTCTCATGTTAAATGAAAAGACATTAACAAAAAAGAAAAGAAAAAGCAGTTAAAACTAGGAGACTTTCTAATCAAGGTACAATGAAGTGACATTGGGCTTCATCTTGGAAGTACTTTGATGCTACAACAGAAGGAAGTTTTTTTTGAAGAGGTCACTGACACTCACCACCAGGGACTGTTGCCCAGAACCCAGCTGACCACCTGCCAGGGCAGAGGGTGAAGTCTCCAGGGAGGAAGACAGGTCAGCGCTGGGTCTGGACTGCCCTGCCTAACCCTGACAGTCTCAGGATAACTAACTAAATAAACGTGTATATAAATAAATAAATACATGGGTCTCCAACCGAAGCATGGCAAATAGTTCTAGGTCACAATTTCCATAGTAATAACAGGATGTGTTTTCTATGGCTGGCTGCTTAAAAAACTGACACAATTGGGGAGAGAAAAAGGTAAATAGTTACTTAGCACTAGTTAGCTTTTCTATCTTTTTAAAAAATAATTATTTGTTTAATTTTATGTACAATTATTATTTTTTTAATTTGTCCAGAGAGAGAGAGAGAGACAGAGAGAGAGGCAAAGTGAGAAAGCAAGCTACCAGGCCTGGGATTTGAACCGTAGTCGGCCATGTGGGAGTCCAGCACCTTAACCATCAGACCTGCCAGCCCCAATCTTTTCTATCTTATTTTCCTATTTTGCAGTGCCGAGGGACATGGTTGTGGAAGATGAAGACTGCTGAGTTCGTTTACTGGTTACATTCCTCCCCATCTGTGGTTTAAGTCGGGGCCACGAGCACCCCGGAGTGGCTGCCTTTGGATGCCCACCGAGGTGGACATGGGAGGGTGGTGACAGGGTTTGAGAGGCTCCATTAGAAGTGCTTCTGTTTCTTCCTCTCCTGTTTAAGGTTGTGAAGAGCGCCCTGGTGTGGCGTGTCCTGTCTACTTCTCTAGCCAAAGATCTAGCCGAGGGCTGTGTAGGCTGGCTGAGGCCTCTGCGGAAGTCACGCGCTATGTCAGAACAGGTGTTGGGAAGGAGTACACCATTCTAGCTGCCTTTTTCTATACCTGGCGAAACTCAATACACAGCCCTTCCTCAGTTAGGAAACAACTAAATATGCAATAATGTAGACGAGGCATCACTGTTATTTTATGACACAGCAAAAGGCTATAACATATCTCATTCATTAAGTGAAAAGAAAGCAGTTCCAGTGAAGCCAGACAGTGGGCTTCCTCTCTGAACATCCGCCTCTCCTGTGATGGGAGGGAGCGTTTCAACTGGTGCAGTCTGGGGTGCTGGGGTGTTGGAGGTCAGGGGAAGACACAAGCACTCCAGCTACAGAATGTCATGATATGAGGTGTGATACTGCTGTGGTGTAAGGAAGATTCCAGGTTCCACTAGTTTTTATTCCCTTCCTAGATAATTGAGCTTTCACTTTTAAAAATAAAGAAAACAAAACGAAAATCGAGAGACAAAGCAAAGCAGAGCAGAAGAGCAATACTCTCGCAATTCAAAATGGTGCTTAGTGTCATGACAGACACAGAAGGTGAGTAAAGAAGTATAACAACCAAATCCCAAGTGTGAGATCCTGGACTAGATCCTGGACCGAGGAGGGAAACGTTATTCTGTTGCAATTAAGGACATCAGTAAGACAACTGGTCAATTTGAATAAGATCTATAGATTATAGGGTGGAATTACGTCAGTGTTGATTTCCAAACTTTGATCATTGTACTGTTGTTATATGAGAGAAAGTCCTAGTTTGTAGATAACACTTGAAGTATTTAGGGGCAAAAGGGAATTGTTTCTGCTACTTACTCTCAAACATTTAGGGGAAAAACATATGTAGATAGAGAGAAAGAGAGAGAGAGAGAGGGAGGGAGGGAGGGCACAGAAAGGAAAGGCTGCAAAATGTTAGCATTTGGGCAATCAGGATAAAGAGAATGAAATTCTTTGACTGTTTTTGTAAGTCTAAAATTATTTTAGAGTAAAAAATAAAAACAATTTTAAAATGGAATATTATTTTTATAGCACTAAGATACCCTTTTCTTTTTTAACAAGTAACAATACTTTCTTCTAATTTTTTTAATTGCCAGGAGGCATGCATGCTTGCCAAGGAGAGACAGAGAGAAAGAGAGAGAGGAGGAGGAGAGGGAGAAAGCATCCCCAGTGGGACATGGTCACATGGTAATCCCTTCTTCATTTCCTCATCCTGACTGGACTTTGGGCACACAAACACTCACACCTGACATGTTTTTCAAGCCACCAGGGCTGGGATCTGAACCATTTGGTAGGCTATATGGGATCTGACTCCATTAATCACTAGGCTACCAGGCTGGCCCACAAGATCAATTTGTTGAGAGGCTCAGATGTTAGAAAAACATGTTTTTTGGGGGCCAATTGCTCTTAAATAGTCCACTTCTCTAGACTGGATTATTTGACCTCCAGCGTCTTGTGAAATGTCTATTCTATCTTCAGATGTCCAAATGGGTTACATGCCAGTAAACAGTGTCAGGTTGCTTCCTAATCTGTTCATCCATCACTCAGACTCTGAGTTAAAAAGTTCCATAGATAAATGCTTCATGTTAATCCCTTTCTACTCCCTGCCTCTACGCTTCTGGCTCATGTGGGGATATGACCACTCCAGGGAAGCATACGGGAGAGGACACGAGATCTGACTCCAGATGGCCTGAATTTAAGTCCCAAGGACTAATGCTTATTACTTATGGAGTAATTCTTCTAATTTATATGCTCACCAGTGTCCCCACATGTGAAATGGGGCTACACCAGTACTTGCTCTACATCACTTTCTGGGGCTATTAAAAGGCATGGAAAAGGATACATGAAATGCTTTGAAAAATGCTCATGGCTGTTGGTTATTGTTTATGGAAATTCTGTTTAAAGTAAGGCAAGGGTGGGAGAAGTATGTCTAAGGCACTCTCTCTAATACTATTTGAGCCACCCAACGTATTGCCTGTGACATGAACCCAGAGGACGAGTTGCCCCAGTGACTTTCCAGTGCGTTGGTATTTATTGATATTTCTAAAAATAGAGATCACTCATTAACATTCTGAACTCTTTATATCACTCATTCTTACAAAAGATCCCAATTTTATATGGGAAACTAAAGTTCAGAAAGACCATATGACTTGATGTGAAACACATAGCTACTTGGGGCATTTTCTGGACTTGAATCCAAGTCGCTAAAACTTTCTGCCCTGAAGTCCTTCCACTGCAATACCTTTGTTGCTGGTGATCAACAAATAGAAGCCAGTAGTCATTGTGGGCAATGAATGCAGAGACAGTCATTTTGCCTAGAGAGTGGTCCCATATAGGCTTAAACGTGATCCCTGGGGAGCTGGGTCTTTAACTGCACCTGACATTGTCCATGCTTCAAATACCCTACCAGCTAGACATCCACCCCAGCCACGTAAGACCTAGAGTTGGGGCACTTAATTAAAGGGGCATCCTCTTAGAGCATATACTCATCTCTACAAGGCAGAAAGTTTGCCACTTACTTACCCATGTTTCAAACATATCTTCTGGGCGCAGGCGTCGCAGAGTGGGTCTGAAATAAAGAGGCACTTCTGTGAGTAGGGACCATCATGGCAGATTCTGCAGTCTCAGCACCGTGAAATGTAAAATGAGATATTGACTCATGTGCAAAAACACGAAGAGTCCTAGAAACCTGCTTCTCCTCAAAGGATACAGAGAGGATCTACCCTGTTGTATCAGAGATCAGGGCCTAAAGCACACAGCCTTTTTATAGACCCATTTGATCCAAGGAGTATAAAGTCAATAACAAACAATAGGTCAAAGGCTACAGGGTCAGCTCATTCCCAGGGCAAGAAGACATTGCCCTCCTCATAGACAGGTTCCACATGAGCCCAGAGCAGGCCCAGAATGAGGAAATCTGAGCAGGAAACAGGAAGCCTCAGCTTTTCTAGAACTGCCATTATTTATCACTGGGATTGTCCACCAGCAGTAGGTAGGATCTACATTTCCTTATAATGTCATTTCTTTTGAATACTGGCAAACAGCACCAGACACGTTCCTCCAAGTGCTGCCTCCCTGGAGGGACTAGGTGCTTCAGGTTTGACACACAGTGCAAATGTGGGGAGGGTGGATGGATGAGGTGGTGAGCCCACCACCATGTTCTGTGTTCGATATCGTCTCTCCTTCAAGAGCAGGGGCCTGAACACTACAGCCAGTGGGCCAAATCCAGCCAGTGTCTCCTACGTTTGCAAATAAGCCTTTACTGGGACATAGCCATGCACATTTGCTTGTACATGGTCTAAGGTAGCCTTCATATGACAATGGCAGAGTTGAGTAGTTGAAACAGAGGCTGTCTGGCCGTCATATCTTGAAATATTTACTTTTCGTTCTTTAGAAGAAAACTTTGCCAATTCGAGGGAGAGCTACTTTAAGTGTTGTCAAATATTCCCCTCTCAGAAGTTCTATCCATAGAATGTTCACCCTTAGCTAAGTTACTCAACTATTCTGAGTCTAGTTCTTTGACCTATAACATTGGGATGACAATAATTACCCTATGAGATAGAGACGAGACAAAATAGCTTTCTTAAAGCACCTAGCATGCTACTTAGTATGTAGGAAGCTTTCACAAAATTTTTATCACAATTAATGTAGAATTCTACTCATACTTTTTTTTTAAGAGAGATTTTTGTTATAGGGAGTGGACACTTGTGAGAGAAACAGAGAGAGACAGAAAGTGAGAAATCACCCCCAAGGAGGGATGGCCATGCCACAATCCCTTCTCTTCCATTCTCCTCTTGGGATCTTGGGGATGCATACACATGCACCTGGCGTGAGTTTTAAGTTGTTGGGTCTGGGACTCAAACTGCAGTCTACTACATGGGAATCCAGTGACATAACCATTATGCTATCTGCTAGTCTAAGAATTCTACTCATATCTTACTTTGACTAGGAGGGAATTTTCTGCCTGAGGGGAAGCAGTTTTGTGTAGACCAATGTTATACAAGTAGAACACTGCAACAGTCCTACTATCTATATATGACCAACAAAGCCATACTACTGCGTCCTATTTGGCTGGGGTACTACCTCTAGCTTTTTTTTCTATGTGGTTCTGAAATGGCAGATTGGGAGGCTCCTCTCCATTTTCCAGGCTCTAAGATACATCCCCTGCATGCCATCTTGGGTACCTTTGGTGTTCCTTCACAAACTCCACCAGCTCCTCTTCTGTGTACGGTTTGTCGGGAATGGGAATGGGCTCATCCATAAATGGCTCATAGAAGCCAACTTCATTCATCTTCAACGACAATTTCTTTGCAACCTGTAACAGTTAGAAAGACGACAATGGTTTATTTGAATGCTTGTCCAGAGTAGCAATGGGTTGTCCATCTAAGGAAAGTGTCTATGCTTGTTCTCTGGCAAAGACAAGTAAGCATATATATGATTTTAACTTAAATGCTGAAGTGATAGCTCATCCCATAAGTCCTGCACTGGGACAATTTCCTCTTGTAATCTAAGAAAAAGAAATAATAAGAAAAAGAGAACTAACTGGCTAATTAGAGTCAAAAAGGGGCAGAGAGCAATTGGAATGAAAAGTGAGAAATTTGGGGACCAGCAGTTAGTGTAATGGCTATGTCACTGGACTCCCATGTAGTCGACCATGGGTCGAGTCCTGGACCCGGTGGCTTAAAACTCACACTGGGCGTGTGCACGTGTGTGCCCAAGATCCCGAGAGGAGAATGGAGGACAAGGGATTGTTGTGTGGCCATCCCCCCTCGGGGGTGATTTCTCGCTTTCTGTCTCTCTGTCTCTCTCCATCTGACTGGCGAGCGCACGCACCCTATGGCAAAAACCTTTCCAAAAAAAATAAAATAAAATAAAAGTGAGAAATTTAATTCTACAAGAACCACCACCAGCTGACTCTATTTGCCAGGGCTGGAAGAGAAAACAAATACCTACAGATCATGTTTACTGTCATGGTTGTGTGAAGTTCATTGAACCAATTTTGATAGAAAAGGCAAGTGATGGAAATCCTTACAGCATACAGGTACTTAGAATCAGAAGCCAACCCTTTAATCTGTTCTATCCCTGATCAGTTCATAAGTCCTAATTGCTAGTTAGATTGAACCACTGGTCCTAGGGTTAAATGTCTCAGTCCAGATTGGCGTGGTGGTTTGTCAGGCTCTGGGAACTGAACAGCTTGTTACCAGTCTTAAAATGACCAACAATCCTGTTTTGTTCAGGATGAAGGAGTTTTCTGGGATGAGGCTCTTTTGATGCTAAAACCTGGATAGTCTCCAACAAGCCAGGATGAGTTGCTCACTCTACTATAGATAAAAAGCTTGGGGAAGCAGCCCATAGCCTGGAAGACATTTCCTCTCTTGATTGAAGTGGCCATAAGGTTGTCTGCTGTCAAACAGAATAGTTGCTATGTTTGCCTGCACAGCTGCTGAACTCAGGATCTCTCTTTGTGAAATGATTTGAGAGGCCTGGAATGTGCAATGCTCTATAGAAAACCAAGTGCCATTCTTTTCTAGTTCAGAGCTGTGATTCAAGAAAGCACAGGAATGAACAGTGGTTTCCTTTAAGCTACAGAGGAGTTGCCTAAGAGCTGACGCCCTGCGCCCTGCGGTGGTAACCAACATTCAGTGACCCAGGGCGGCTATGACTAATTGGGAGGGAGAGGAACTGAGTATTACGTAAACTCTTACACAAGGAGGTCCATTCTGAGCATACACTGATGTCTGAGTGGTTTTTGTCATCAACTGCTATTAATTCCAGGTCACTATATTCTAAAAAGAATTTCTTGGTCTACTTAAGAAATGTCTTAGTCTACTTAAGAAACTCCAGCCTCTCAGAGCTAAAGAAAATGGGTCATATTAAGAGCTGCCCTCAGTATAAGGATTTTATTAGCTTGTTGATTTTGTTTTAAGAAGTGAAGAGGTACACATTTTTTTCTTACCATTTCCCCCTGTTCTCTGAGGAAAGGGAGTAGCGTGGATGATGGGGTGATGAGGCAGGGAGCTGGCGAGGGGGAAATAGCACACACACACCCAGTGTCTGAGTCTACTCAGCTCTTCCTGAAGCATTGAGTTCTGCTTCAGTTTTGGTGAATTTGCTCACTATATATTCAGAATCTTCTAAAAGTTTATGGGGAACATAAATTAGGAAAAGAAAACTATGTATGGATTTCAAAAATTTTTGCATCAAAGTAAATTCATAGTTGAACTCCATTTTTTGGCAAACTTTTGGAAGTCCCTTTATATGTAGTATAGGAACTAGAAAACTGCTTCCATGAAATGGAAGTGACCAGATGAACAAAACAGTAATAATAGCAAACATGCAGCAAGCTTACTCTATGCCAGGCACCCTTGCAAAGAGTTTTAAGTTTGTTGCTTTATTTAATCTTCATTTTGATTATATTTAGTAAGCATCATTATTATACTTATTTTACAGATGATGAACCTAAGGCACACTTTGGGTAAGCAGTTGGTCAAGATCATATACCTAGAGAGAGTAGAACCAGAATTTAAACCCAGGTCATGGAGCTTTCTAAACTACCAGTTTGCCACTATTCCAACTTTCTTCTCACAGGAAAATGGCCATCTCTCTGACAATGTAAAGAAAGGAGACTATGTCACAGTAAATATTACATTGGTGCCATGTGTGGTTTGGTGAGATGTTTCCTATTCCTGTCATAGCATGTTCCCATCAATTTTCTCCCCATTACAATCTGCCTTATTTTTTTAAGAGAGATATATTTTTGCTGTAGGGCATGTGCCCTAGCCTGAGACAGAGAGACAGAAAGAGAGAAATCACCCCCTAGGGGGGATGGCCATGCCACAATTCCTTCTCCTCTGTTCTTCTCTTGGGATTTTGGGCACATGTGCCTGGCCCATGTGTTAAGCCTCCAGGTCCAGGACTCAAACCATGTTCGACTATGTGGGAGTCCAGTGACGTAACCATTACGCCATCTGCTGCTCTCACAATCTGCTTTCAATAAAACTTCCTGAAGGGAAAAGGGAGCTCATCAGGACCACTATGAAGGCAAGCGTCGTGGGTGTGCAAATGAGTATGCATGTGAGTATGTAAGAGATGGTAGTCTCTGGTCCCTGAGTGTTAGTGCCTGGGTCTGCAGTGTTATGTCTATGAATGTCAGATTGGATTATCACGTCTTTAAGTCTTGGAATCCCTGAATAAAATTTTCCAGAGGTCTCTTCACAATCTCCCCATATCATCATCAAGTGCCCTCATCTGCTCAGGAAGGGACCTTAGAATATCTTCTTTTCATTCTTTTGAGGGGTGGGCCATCACTACTCATTAGATATTTTTAGAAATACCCTTACATCCTCTAAATTAATCATCTTTGGACTAATTGCCATCCTAAAATGACTTATTGCCATAGTCTTAATGTTTCTGGGAAAAGAGCAAAGGAGGATGGTTAAGGAAAAGAAAAGATAGCCACAAGTTCAAATTCTAATCCTTCATGTTTATAAAAGCATTGCATTTCAGCCAGGTGCAGTGGCATGCACCTGTGGTCCCAGCTACTCAAGAGCCTGAGGCAGGAGGATTATGACTTTGAGGCCAGTCTGAGTAACATAGCAAGAACTTGTGTATTCAAAAAAAAAAAAAAAAAAGTGTTCAAACTGTGGTTTCATAGGTACTTACGCCTTTGTCGAAGGTGGCAAAAAATTTGATATAAGGCTGGAAGTGTTCAGCTGCCTCTTCAAAGGCCTTATAATCTAAAAGGAAAAAGATGAAAGGAAGAGATGTTTTCAAGGTGCACTAAAGAAGCTTCCCTTTTTAAGTGACCTAGAGAGAATGGAGTCAATGAACTCTAATTGGATAATTATTTAGTAGATAATGTTTAGATAAATAATTACTTAGTGCTATTTAAACCCCTAATTTCCCCCAAGGAGTTTGAATTCACTGCCATTCAATCATCAAGAGAAGACCTCTTTGCCACATGTTTATGATGTTCACATATGGACAGCAGGAAACAGAGAGAAAGAGAAAAAACACACATGAAATTTTAAACCCAAAGAAAACACCTTCTCTCTTGAACTCACTACTGGTTATAATTGTGCCTCTAAACTGAGTATAGTTTGTGTATAATGAGCCCTAACTAAGAAAGAAATGCTCCTTACTGTGCCAAGTAACTTCCATTAAAAATGACATCATAGAAGTATCAATATTTTAAACTTAGCAGGAATATCCCTGTTGGTTAATCCTAGTTTTTATTTATCTTTTTCTTCCTTCCTTTTTTTTTTCTTTCTTTCTTCCTTCTTTTTCTTTCTCTTCCTCTCTCTCTCTTTCTTCTTTCTCTCTCTCTCTTCTCCCTTCCTTCCTTTTCTTTTTTCACTCTGACCCTCTGAGAGGGTTGTTAAAGTTTAATTAAGCCTATGCTTGACTCTGGCCCCAAACTTGATCCCAAACTGTGAGGGCAGGCCTGAGAACATGTGAGTGTGAAATGCCAGGCCTTACTACACCCAGGCTGTTAGTTGGTGAAGATGTCCATGTTGAAGCCTAGACTTGAGGAGGATGGTGATGCTGGTTGCCCAATAGCAAATTAAATAATAATAATAAATACAAAATTTTAAAAATATATAAATGTACCTTGCACTTACTTTGAAAAAAAAAATAGAAAGGTAATTGTTTGCTTCAAAAACATGCTAGACCTTGCTGAGCATCCAAATGAACTTAACTGAAAATTGTAAGCATCTTGTGAAATATAATACTATACTGACAAAGTTCATCAATTTAAAAGCAAAAATTAAACCTTAAAAGAGAGGCAAAAATGACTCATTAGCAACTTTATCATTTAAATTTCAAGAATAATGGTTAAGATCAGTAGAATCTATGTCTGTGTATTCCTATGGAAGTTTCATTATAATTTTGAAATACATTTTGTGAAAAAGTTTCATTAGATTAGCAATGCCTTTAAATCTATTCAAATTATCCTGAGGAATATGAACATTATATTTGTCATAGAAAATAAAAGTAATACCTGTGAGGCTGAAAGAGTGCTCACGTCCTTGAGGGACAGCTTAGAGACTGAATTATCTGAATTATGTCCCGTGGCAAGAAAAGAATGTTCCTCAAATGGAGAAAAGCCCTGCGTGCTGCGTCCCATTTGCCCCGCGTGCAGCACAGTCTCGTCAATGGTGACTCCCCAGAATTTGCAAAGATCATGGGCTGGCTTCATGGTGTAGTGGGAATAGGCTGCTCAAGGAGAAGCTGGATCTCACATGGTGGCAGTGGTTCAAACCCCTGACCCAGTCAGACTGAAATGTTCTGGGCACGCATGCCAAACCCTTCCAGTCTACCCCCACTTCACTCCATACAAGCATTAGAAGATTTTACGTGTACCATGACCTAACCAAGTTTACGAAGTTGAAAAGATAGCCCGGTAATTAAGTGTACGGCCTCTGAAGTCAGATTCCTGGGATTTAAATCTTGACTCCACCATTTACTAGCTGTAAAACACTAAGTAAGTTAATTGACCTTTCTCTTCCATCCTTTCATCATGAAGATGAAGATAATCATGATAACTTCCTCACGGGTGTGTGAGAATGAAAACATTCACATAAAGCTTGCAGCATAGGCCCTGACATGTTATGTGATAATGAAATGGAGCTATTATGATTATTGGTTTAGGGGAGGGAATGAAAGAGACCGGAAGATGTGTTTTCTATTCCGGTCTTGGCCCTACCTCCCTCCATCCTGAGCTTTATGGAGGGCAGAGAAACCTAAGGATGGAAACAAGCTCAGCTGAAGAGGAACAGGGGAAATAGAAAGAAACAAAATAAAGAGGAGAAAGTAGAAGGGGCAGGAGAACCTCCGAGTAGTCAGCACTGAAACAGAAATGTGCAAATTGAAAACAAGTCACCCACAGAAAAACTGGGGCAAACTCCCTGGTGAGTCACCTCAATGCATCCACATCCAACACTGGATGGAGGTTCGAGTGAAGCAAATGGGAAGAGGCGTAAGTTGGGCCATGGAAGAGAAGAAGCAGGTGGGTTGGTGATGAGATGATGAAGGATATCAGTGGGCAGGTTGCATAAGGAAACAGTTTTGCAAATAATTTCAAAATATTTTGGAGTTTCTAGAAACAGTCGTAGGCAGCCTGTGTTTCTATCTCTGAGATGTACACATGCAGCCAGATTCTCCTTTGTGTCTATGCCCACCCCTTCTAACACTTCCCCTGTCTCCAAGATTGACACGCTAGGAAACGGCTGAATGAAGCAGCTTTTTCAAATGTACTTAGGCAGTTTCCCTTGCGGTCTCTTCTCTCTGCTCTACCCGACTCCTGCCCACACCCTTACAGCCCTGATGGGCTTAGGTGATGCTATGACAGACAGGTCCCCATGCCCACCCAGAACCTGGCCTCAAAGCTTTCAAAGGGAATGTGCTGTGTCCGAGGGTGTGGCTGCTCTGTGGCAGGCCGCCTCGGTGGTTAGCCGTGAGCTTGGTCAGCAGTTTCCCACGTTCTGTAGCAGCTGCTAGGCCCATCCCTGCCCACATTTTCCTCTGATGCTTTCCAGTCGCCTGAGAAGCTCTCTAGCTAGTGACCGTGGAGCTGGCAATGTCAGGGAGAGAGCCCACCATTTTTCCCACCGTGGGGGGACTTCAACGGGGATGGAGACAGGTGGGAAAGTGGAGGGAGGAGTTCTCTCCCTTCGGTAAAACACTCACCTGCTCCCTCTTTGAGACCAGAGGACATGGCCCAACCTTCATATTCTTTCAGCAACCCTGCCTGGTGTGTACCATGTGTGTTTTCTGCACGTGTGTTGCCCACACAACATAGGGCGCAGCGATGAGTCCAAAGTCCTCTATTTGAACCAGCAAAAATGATGCTGAAGACTCATCATCTTTTGGGATAATCTCACATACCTCGCTGGGAAGCTAGCCCTTAGACGGACAGGCTGGGGCGGACACACAACTTACACTCTGAGTCCTCACTCTTGAAGAAGCCGATGAGTTTGATCTGGTCCTCGATGCGTTCAAAGGCTTGGACCTCCAGTTTGTTGTTGATGATCTCCACTGGGTCTTCGATTAGCTGAAACGCCACACACGCACACACACACACACACACACACACACATAATAAAACTGGAGAATTCTTCCAGCCCCGGTGGAAATAGAGTGGTCTGGAGGGAAGCTTTAGACAACTGTGTGGTTGGTGCCTCAACGATCCTTCTACCGTCCCCTAGTGAGTGCAGTGGCAGGGCCTTTTGAGGAACTGATCTGAACTCAAGAAGTGGGATGTTTGGTTTGGGGGAGATTCTATTCCTTTAGCCAGACTTTTTATAATTGCCAGAGGGCATGTGCACTTGCCAGAGAGAGAGAGAGAGAGAGAGGAGAGCACCCCCCCAATGGGGCATGGTCACACCACAAACCCTTCTCCTCATTTCTCCATCCTGTTGGGATTTGGGGCATATATATATACATGTCTGCATTTTTTTTTTTTTGAGAGGTTTTTGCTATAGGGCGCGTGCACTCACCAGAAAGACAGAGAGAGACAGAATGACAGAAAGCAAGAAATCACCCCCCTGGGGGATGGCCACGCCACAATTCCTTTTCCTCCATTCTCCTCTCGGGATCTTGGGCACGCATGCACACACGCTCAGCATGAGTTTAAGCCATCAGGTCCAGGACTCGAACAGCGGTCGACTACATGGGAATTCAGCAACATAGCCATTACGCTAACTGCTGGTCCCATGTCTGCATGTTTTTCAAACCACTGGGGTCAGGCTTTGAACCATGGTCAACCCTGTGGTATCTGATTCCCTTAGCTATAGGGCTGGCCTACCAGAAATTTGTCACGTTAATGATTAAGTTGATAAATTATAGTTGTATATATTTATGGGGTACAAAGTAATGTCATGATTTATTAATGCAATATGTAATAATTAAATCAAGCTAATTAATATATTAATCACCTCAAATAGTTATCATTTTTTGTGGTGAGAACATTTGAACTTTTCTATCTTAGTGATTTTGACATGATACTACATTATTATTTCATGCTTTGTAATAGAGTTGAAAGAACAAAGTACCTTACTTCTCCAGTCTAATCAAGGTTTGGCATCCTTTACCATCATGTTTTCACCGCCCTCACCCACCTAGCCTCAGATAACCACTGCTCTACTTCCCGCCTCTTTGAGTTAACCACTCTCGGTTTCTTGTCTGAGAACATGCAGGATTTGTCTTTCTGTGCCTGACTTATGTCACTTGACACCCTGTTCTCCAGTTCCATCTATATTGTCACAAATGGCAACAGTGCTCTCTTTTCTAAAGTTGAATAGTGTTCTGTGTATACATGCCACATTTTCTTCATTCATTTATCTGTTGACAGACACTTAAGACTGATTCCATACCTTCTCTTGCCAGTTATTGATTCAAAAATGGACAAGTGATCTATTAAGTCGTCAGGAAAGTCATGACATATTTTTTTCTATGCAAAAATGCTTCATCACTTTCTGGACGACCCAGTAATTCTGGTCCAATAAGGATAATTCTGCCAAAAGCTTTGAGCAAGTTATTTACCCTTAAGAGAGCAAGGGGAAGCCAGATTTGTTTTCTTCTCCCACTGAATACAAATGAGAAATGCGATATACTGATTCATCTCAATGGCCATCTCATACTAGAGTGGAAAGTATAGCCTCTTACTTAAGTGTGTAAACTCTAGGACAATCAGCCTGAAGACAAAAACAACATAGTAAAAACAGTTATCTAGAATTCATAGTGAAAAATGGAGTGAGAGTCCTGATCTGATCAAGTCTACAATCTGCCCTAACTGTGGTCTTCTACTTATGGCCCCAGGCACATTGTTCAGGCACAGTGTTCACTGTCTGAAGCAGTCTTGTTTCCAAAAGCCTCTTCCCAGCTGATAAAGTTACAACAGCGCCATGTGTCTTGTTGCTTATCTCAACTATTTTAGTACTCATGGATCAATGAGATGGCCAAGCAGTCTACGGGCACTTCATTTATTTATTTATTTTCATGGGAGATGGCTTTCAGATGCCTTCTAACCTTCTCTCTGGCTTTTTAGGCCATAGTGAAAAAGCAGTAGACCCCTGGTACAAGTAGGGAGATAAGAGATGATCCATATGGATGTTGAAAAGCAGGATCTTTATCTGTGCAAGAATGTGTGTCCAAAAGCATTTCCTTCACAGCTGTTATTGAAAGTGTGGGTTTCTCTATGGGCAAATACTTGTCTAGAGTTTGGTCCTCTGCTCTTCTGAGCACATGGTTTTCAGGGCCTGGTACCTTCATAGCTGGGAGCAAGTGTGTCCCAGGGGCTCATTAGCTGCCTCACCTTTATGCTGTTCTGAGGTCCTTCAGGTGACTCAGCTGATAGCTACTCCCATCCTCCCCCCTCTCGTGACTGATTGTCTCCCTTCCTCCCCACATACCCCAGCGCCTCCTCAGTTGCACTGGAGCAAAGCCCTGGGAATCTCAGTGGATGTCTGTATATAACTGGTAAGAGAATGAGCATGTTACAAACACATGGGCCCAATCTATGATCTTCTGGACACTGATAAACAGTGTCTAGGGTGACTTAATGGCCAGCTTCCTAGTAGAAGGAAATAGCACTGTAGTGTAGGTGTTCCCTGGTTTGTGTGAAGTCTGAAAAACTGTCTGAGGCCAGGGCACCTTCTGCACATCTCTGTTCTTCCTTTTGGGTTTTGGATCCCCTCTATTGGAGCCCAGATGGCTGCATGCAGGGCCCCCATACATAAGTTCTTACATCCAAGAGAAATTCCACCAACACATCAGCTGCAAACTCGCCATCAAACTCAATGGTGCGATCACCCTTCAGAACGTACAGGCTCCCTTCTTCATCAAAGCCTAGAGGAAGCAAAGAGGCCAGAGGACAAGGTCAAGCTGATGTAGAAAAAACATTGTGGTGGTTGGAGTCTGACTCAGGCTCCCTGGGCGACAGTGGGGTCAGGATAAAAGGAACTTTCAGTAACTTTAGTCCAAAGATGGGTTCTCTCTGAATGACACTTCTAAGGGATTCCTAAAGTGGACATCTACCTTAAAATAGTTAAGAACAATCTTACACAGATTTTAACTTAAAAAAAAAAATCTATTCTCTATATACTATTGTTTTAGTTTTCCAAAAATATTCTCCTTATCAAAAACTTTTAATGCCCACTGCTCACGAAACTTTTACCTTGTTATTCAATCCCTTCTACAGTCTAGTTAACACTCTCTCGATCTCACTTGAGTAGGCTGCACTACTTTAAAAACTGTTCTGGGAAGCAGCAGGTGGTGTGGAGGTAAGGCGCTAGATTCCCACATGGCCTGACATGGTTCAAGTCCCAGACCCAGTGGCTTAAATCACACTAGGTACATGCGCATGCATGACCCAAATCCTGAGAGAAGTAAGGAGGAAGGATTTTGGAGTGGCCATCCCTGTCCCGGGATGGGAGTGCAATTTCTCACTTTCCCTCTCTCTGTCTCTCTCCAGCAAGTGCATGCACCTATGGCTGAAAAACAAATGAATAAATTGTCTTCTAGTCTCCTAGGCAACTCCTTTGCTTCTCGCCCGTGTGCTGATATAAAAGTGTGCATGAAAGAAAAGTCTCAGAGCATACTCCCTCTGTTCTAGTTCCCCAAACTTGTTATGGCCTCCACTGTATCTTCACCTTCACCTGCTACTTGGTTAGCTTCTTCAGATTTCAGCTTAGGATTCACGTTTCCTAAGGTCACGCTAATCTCACTGGGCTTGTGTCTCCATTGATCTTCCCCGGCTCTGTTTATAGGTACTCACTGTAATAGTAAATTCTCTTAGGGTAGGACCATTGTCTTCTTGCTATCCCAGTGCCTTGCTCAGAGCCTGAACACACTGGCACCCCTAAATGTATGTGTCCAGAATAAACAGCTTGCTTTACTGTTCTAGCTGAATTCATACATCTTCTCTATCTCGTTAGCTGGCCAATATTGTAAGAGCACATTGTGCATCTTCTCCTTTTCCACGCTTTAGTGTTCTTGGTATTTTAACAGTGATTGTTGGAAAACTGCATTCCCATCCCC